TTTGAGGCCCAAGGATCACAGGTTTCTAGATGTCTCAACACAGTGAAGACCCTGCCCCTGCCCCCACCAAGAAAAACCACTGGGCAAAGGATTTATATCTGTGACCCTTCACCTACCTTGCAAGCTCAAGGTACCGAGTTTGATCCCCAATACCAAAAAAAAAAGCATTTTCTCTTTGAATCAAACTTTTAAGAAGTGCCAGTGAGAATTTTAACAGTAAAAAAGGCAATGTGATGAGAAAACTTCCTTAGTGCTGCAATCTGTGAAACAATTACACACAGCTGATGTTAGTTCAGAACAAATGGTGCCCCACTAGGAGCAAGCTGGCAGTTGGATCCTTTGACCTGGTGCACCTGTCACAGAAGGCAGGCCTGATTTAGATTTGAGCTGTTGGCAAAAATTTTGCACTATTTTGGGTACAGGATGACTAATTAGGAAAAGGTAAAATAAAGTTTTCCTTACTAGCAATCTGTTAAATCCCAACCCAGAATGCTTTTCCCATTTCCTTTCATACTGACATCCTCCCAGAATCCGATGGTTTAAGTTTGCGGCAAGAACCACACCTGAATGGGGTGTGGAAACGCACACCTGTAATCCCCAAACTCAAACTCTTGAGGCAGGAGGATCACAAGTTCAAGCCCAGCCTGGACAACTGAGCAAATACTGTCTTAAAGTGAAGTTTTGAAGACTGAACAGAAACCCTGTTCAACCTGCAGTACAAAACAAAGCAACATCTGACACCTGCAGCTTATAACCATGGATATCCAACAGATGGCCAATATTTTCACTTTAATTCTATCCAAAATATATATCCCCGAGTCAATTCCAATGTAAACTTAACTTCAAAAAAATACTTTATCGAGATAAAGTTTACCAAACTGTTGTCCTGCTGAACCAACTTCGTCACTGCCAGTAGGTGGCACTCAAACCAAGCGGTCTTGCAGAGTTTGTAATCAGCATGCCACTGGCAAGCTTTCAGGGCCTGATTATTGGGGTTCTATGCAGCCTTATTCTTGGGGTGAGCAGTTATCTTTTGTTCAACCTTGAATTGTCAACTTTCATTACCAGGCATTAGTCAGGTGTTAAAGAGCACCCCAAGGCCAACCTCAACTGCATAGCAAACTTCACCCAAGTGTTAACTGGGCATGACACACATGCCTGTAATCTCGGCACAAGAGGCTGAGGCAGGAGTTGTCGCCTCAACGACAGGAAAAAAAAAAAGCCAAAACTTGAGTGAGAAAAACCTGATTACAGTGCTTCACTTCACCTCAAGTATCAAAGCATTTTATCAAATTTAGACCTAAAATTGAAGTAAATAAAACTCTTACCTACGGTGGCAACTTTATAAGACGGTTATAGCTCTGTACATCAGTGTGTATCCACTGAACTTAGGGGACAATGCACGTTGCCTGCAACTACAAAGCATCATCTTCTAACAGGTCTAAAACATGAACTCTAATCGTCAACCTTTCAAGCTTAATTTTTTCACAGTATTTTCTACCATGTTGGGTGATCCAACTCTCAACCAAAAACACTGTTCTAATCGATTAGTCATTAGATACTCAAATGTACTAAATATACATACAAATGTTCAGATTAGCAATGGCTAAAAAATTGGACTCGACCACAACCAAAGCCAAGTAACCCTATAAGCCTGTCATCTGGTTTAGCTTTCTAGTGGCCAATCAGCCCTTCAAGCTCTCATTTATCAATTACCTTGCATATTCCCTTCATTCCTCAGTTATCTGAAATTCCTGAAACTTCAAACCAGTTACTTTTCAAAATGTAACTTTCTGGCCAGGGAGAACTCTGAGCTCTGAGGACAAGACCAAGTCTAGCTGAGGTTGTAAGTTCAGTTCCAAGCCCCAAGTTAAATTCCCTGTCCTGGCAAGTGCCCTTCCGTTTACATTCAGTGACCTCCAGATTAGCCCATGTTCAACTCTCCAGCCAACCGTGTCTTTTTGAAGCGAGCATCCACACACAATCCCTACACCACCAAGGCCTTGGGTATTAAAAGCTGTACCATTGAACTATATATATCCCACTCAATTTCCATTTTTCTTATAACCTGGATGTATTTCAGTACTAAACATCACAAGTTCTAGGGCAGTGTCTGAGACTCCACATTAACAAATGTACATATCAGAACTACACAAGACTTAAGAGCTTCAACATGTTTTATAAACCTAAATTATAAATTACATAATACCAAAGTGTTGCTATATTGTTGCCATCAGCACAACCCTCCCCCATACCGCTTTACTACTTAAAACAGTACCCCTTCCCTCTAATTCCCAGATATGAAGCAGCCAAAATTGTATTTTCAAAGTTTCAGGGTTAACACTAGAAATAGGTTTCAAAGAACTGAAGTTTTGTGTTGACCAAAAGACACAGGTTTCTCATTAAACTTTGTTTTAATGGGTCTCAAAATTCTGTGACAGATTTTTGGTCAAGTTGTTTCCATTAAAAAGTGATTTTAAAAACTAATAACTTAAAACTGCCACGCACAAAAAGAAAATAAATGGTCCACAAAACATTCTCCTTTCCTCCTGAATGTTTTACGATGCATCGTTATCATTAACCAGTCTTTTACTATTAAACTTAAATGGCCAATTGGGAGAAACAGTTCTGAGACCGGTCTTCCACCACTGATTAAGACTGGGGTGGCAGGTGTTAGGGGTAATATTCATTTAGCCTTCTGAGCTTTCTGGGCAGACTTGGTGACCTTGCCAGCTCCAGCAGCCTTCTTGTCCACTGCTTTGATGACACCCACGGCAACTGTCTGTCTCATATCGCGAACAGCAAAACGACCTAATGAAACACAATTTTGATCATGAGAAACACTTGTTGCACAGATTTCAGTCTATTCATTTCTAACTACACTTAATTAACCTTACCCAGAGGTGGATAGTCAGAGAAGCTCTCGACACACATAGGCTTGCCTGGAACCATGTCAACGATGGCAGCATCACCAGATTTCAGGAATTTGGGGCCGTCTTCCAGCTTCTTACCAGACCGGCGATCAATCTTCTCTTTCAGCTCAGCAAACTTGCAAGCGATGTGAGCTGTGTGGCAATCCAGTACAGGAGCATAGCCAGCACTGATCTGGCCTGGATGGTTCAGGATAATCACCTTGGGGGAAGAAACCAGCATTTATTGCCTTTGAAAGACATCAGGCTCTGCAGTAAAGCTATAAGCACATTAAATTGTTACCTGAGCAGTGAAACCAGCTGCTTCCATTGGTGGGTCATTTTTGCTGTCACCAGCAACATTGCCACGACGAACATCTTTGACAGACACGTTCTTGACATTGAAGCCCACGTTGTCACCAGGAAGAGCTTCACTCAAAGCCTCGTGGTGCATTTCAACAGACTTTACTTCAGTGGTGACATTGACTGGTGCGAAGGTGACCACCATGCCAGGCTTGAGAACACCAGTCTCCACTCTGCCCACAGGGACTGTACCAATACCTAAGTATTTACAAGATAGTATCAAAACATCTTATATAAAAGCAGCTACCATGCTAATGGTCTACACCCAAAATTGAACAGGTCTGGAATCAAGTCTTGCCAGCAGTAACAACGTTCAACTTACCACCAATTTTGTAGACATCCTGGAGGGGCAGCCGCAAAGGTTTGTCAGTTGGGCGAGTGGGTGGCAGGATGCAATCCAAAGCTTCAAGCAGGGTGGTTCCACTGGCGTTGCCATCTTTACGGGTGACCTTCCATCCCTTGAACCAAGGCATCTGAAACGAAATTTCCAGTTCACCTTACCGACTCACCAGTTCAAGCATTAAGCATCGTTACGAATTGTCTTGAACGTCACTTACGTTAGCACTTGGCTCCAACATGTTGTCACCATTCCAACCAGAAATTGGCACAAAAGCTACCGTGTCAGGGTTGTAGCCAATTTTCTTAATGTACGTGCTGACTTCCTTAACAATTTCCTCGTATCTCTTCTGGCTGTAGGGTGGCTCAGTGGAATCCATTTTGTTAACACCAACAATGAGTTGTTTCACACCAAGCGTGTAAGCCAGAAGGGCATGCTCACGGGTCTGCCCGTTCTTGGAGATACCAGCTTCAAATTCACCAACACCAGCAGCAACAATCAGGACAGCACAGTCAGCCTTTGGGGGGAAAAAAGGACATAAGCTTTTTGAGCTGTCAAAAAAAGGGGGGAGCTCCCCAGGGCAGAAACTGGCCAGTTATTTCTGTAATTACAAATCTCACGAACCTGAGATGTGCCTGTAATCATGTTTTTGATAAAGTCTCTGTGTCCTGGAGCATCAATGATAGTCACGTAATACTTGCTTGTCTCAAATTTCCACAGGGAGATGTCAATGGTGATACCACGTTCCCGCTCAGCTTTCAACTTATCCAAGACCCAGGCATACTTGAAAGAACCCTTCCCCATCTGTAACAGTAGTTACGGTTAATAAAACATGAGACTCAAGTCCTTGACCTCCCCCCTACATTTGGCAGAAATATTTAATGTGCAGGGCTTAAGTGGCTTTATGTTATCAAATTGTAAAAGAAAACGATTAAAAGGTCGTACGTATTTAGTTTATTCTACCTTACAAATATTTACATTTAATGGCCGTGTAATTTCCTTTCAGGTAGATTACCTCCACCTAATAATGCTTCTGCTGACAAACAGTATTACAGTTCAACGAACTTTGTGCTATTGCTACTTGCCTCAGCAGCCTCCTTCTCGAATTTTTCAATGGTTCTTTTGTCGATGCCACCACATTTGTAGATCAGATGACCAGTAGTGGTGGACTTGCCCGAATCCACGTGTCCGATGACGACGATATTGATATGAGTCTTCTCCTTTCCCATGTTGGATTTGATTTAGTGGTGGGTTTTCACTACACCTAAAATGGCATTCACAAGGAAAAAACACCTTTTACGCCCCCGTCCGAGACTAGATAACCAGCCCCAACCGAGGCTCCAAAGGACAAATTCCAAGATGACGCCGGCGCCGCCGAATCCACGTGTCCGATGACGACGATATTGATATGAGTCTTCTCCTTTCCCATGTTGGATTTGATTTAGTGGTGGGTTTTCACTACACCTAAAATGGCATTCACAAGGAAAAAACACCTTTTACGCCCCCGTCCGAGACTAGATAACCAGCCCCAACCGAGGCTCCAAAGGACAAATTCCAAGATGACGCCGGCGCCGCG